AGCTGCAGACAGACCTAATGCCCGAAGCTTAGGTTGCTTATATCCACAACTGTAATGGAATTACATGCTGCTAAAATGGAAAATAACACATGAAGTCTCTGCAGGAGAAGTATGTATCCGATGTGTTGTGGATGTAAAATGTTATTAGAAGTGTGCAGTGATCTCTCCTCTCACTCCTCTGGTGCTTCTTACCTCAGCAGTGGTCAGGAAAACATCATCACTTATGTGCCTCAAGCCACATGCAACAACGCCAAGGGCCACACCTGGGAACACATAGGAATTGTTGCCCTGCCCTGGATACAGTGTTCGCCCATCCGGTAGTGTGACGGGATCAAAAGGACTTCCACTTGCAAAAACGCCGCGGCCCTGTGATTAATGTAAATATCATTAGACAATAGAGTGTGTCCATTACTGGTTCTTCTGACTGAAAAGAACTGTCATAGACGTAAAAAGATTCATATTCAATAACTGGTAAAAAATGATTGGTGTACACAAAACTACTTTATTGTTGACTGCTGCGGAAAAATAGAGAAAACATGCATTTGTTTTGATTTTTTGTTATTTTCAGCATATCTGGAGAGTCTTACAGTTGGAATATGAACAGTGAATATGAATTTTATTTTAACCATAAATAAGTTTGTACAACCAAAACAGCTGAATATGGAACATCATTCTGTGTAATTTATAGCAACCCATTTGCTAGACTTAGATTAGCAATTTGCAATTTCTGGTGTTTTTTCCGACGGGCAGGCATGCCAGAGAGTATTAATCACTTACCAGTAGATCATACCCTCTTCCTGACCAGGGCTATTTGGTACAGTTCTACTTTAACTGGCAATTGTGTGGTCAGGCAGCACTGTATGCAAATTAAATATATATCTTTTTTTTTTTTCACACACAGGGATTTCTTTTGGTGGTTTTTGATCACCACGGTTTATTTTATTTATTTTTTATTATAAATTAAAAAAGACCTAAAGTTTTGAAAATATATATATATTACTTTCTGCTATAAAACATATCTAATAAAAATTTTAAAAATCTAATTTCTTTATAAATTTAGGCCAAAACGTATTCTGCTACATGTCTTTGATAAAAAAAAAAAAAAAATCCCAATAAGTGTATATTGATTGGTTTGTGCGAGTTATAGCTTCTACAAACTATGGTGTATATATATTTGGAATTTATGAAGCTATAGACACTATACTGGTAATGGCGGTGATCAGCGACTTGCAGTGTGGTGGGCAATCTGACGCTAATTGGCACAGAGTGGGAACTGACTGCCACCGACATCATCAGTGCTAACACTAGACACTGTCACTGTACTAATGACACTGGCTTGGAAGGAGTTAACATCTAACGACAATCAAAGGGTTAACTGTGTGCCTAACAATGTGTAATGTGCGTTGCTTCTACTAAGCAATGTATTTGTTTTTTTTCCCTGCAAAGCAGGGAGAAAAAAACAGGCACATCGATGTTCTCTGTTCAGAGCCCTGTGTTTTTAGTAAACGCAGGGCTCTGAACTGTCATTAACTAAGTCGATCAGCAGGTCCCAGCCATCAATCATTGGCCAGGACCTGCTGATCGGCTTGTGCTGTAGCGAATTACAGCTCTGAAGGGGAAGTGGGCGTACACCTGCCCCATACCCAGAAATGCCAGATCATGTACATGTATGTGAGCTGACACAGCGAGGCAGCTCTGTCACAGTAAATCTGAAGTAGGCGGTCAGCAACTGGTTAAAGAGCTAGTGTGTACTCTGTTCAGGCAAAATGAGCCTACGGGGTTGATTTACTAAAACTGGAACACTCGGAATCTGGTGCAGCTGTGCATGGCAGCCAATCAGCTTCTAGCTTCAACTTGTTCAGTCAGACCTTGACAATAAAACCTGGAAGTTGATTGGTTTCTATGCAGAGCTTCACCAGATTTTGCACTTTCCAGTTTTAGTAATTCTGCCCCTATGTGTACATCCCACATTTATCCCACATACTGCTAGGGCTGATTAAATCTTAGTGTGGCACTGTCCTGTGCACTATTCCATGTGTCTCTTTGCAGGAGAGTCCCTATATAACAGTAGGCTTTGCATTCCTTGCTGGACTCTGCTTTCACTACAAAATTACCAGTTGGCGGTGCAGGGTTGCTGACTGGAGGAAGCCAGATCAAGGAAGACCAACTGTATAATAAAGATTTAAATTGGATGCCTCAACTCTGCTTTATTTACTGTAAAGAGGAAAATCATTTTAATTGTTTGTTCCGTGGACAGCAAATGGTGGAATATGCATCAGAATTTTAAGTGCTTACTTGCAGCATTTTTCATTTCCATAAACTATTTTTTTATTCAATTACAATGTGCCTTTGGACATGCTAGAAAGATTGACTTCTCCGGGAATAGTCAATTTTCTTGCACCCCCACCCCGATATGTTATAGCACTCTCCTCTTCAGGGTGTTTCAATTAACTGTCTGTGCTGACCTATCTCCTCCACCCCTCACCTGCCCCTCAATAGGAAGCTGCTGGGGGAGGAGCAATGGGGAATACTATAGAGTGTCACCTGAGACAGCTGTGAATCTATTGGGGTTGCTGTCATTACATACCAGATGCTTGCACCTATTAGCAATCTCAGGGCTTTTTAGATGTCTACACAAGGCAGGCTTTTGCAGGTAAATAACATGCATAAATGTGTGAAATGCACATATCATTTTATAGAAGATTGTTGTTGAAATGAATGGTCTGGTGACAAGACCTCTTTAAAGGTGTAATAAACCCAAAACCAAAAATGTAAAATATTGCAGCTAAGCAATTATTAGAGGTGGTGGCTGCATTAGTTTTCATTTTTAGGCATTTTTGCCTGGTGATCTGGCCAGTAACACACCTCCTGTATTAGAATGTCTCCACTCTGATAAAAGAGCACAGGGGGCACAGCAGACAGCAACATTGTCAATCTTGGGGGAGGGTAGTGTTAGATGGACTAGCAGAATTAGATGCACTAAAAAACTGAAGCCAAACTCCAGCTAACACTTTTTAAGCAGTTACAGCAAACTGTTTTTTTTTTTTCTTTTGAGAGAAATGTTGTACATAAATAAACAAAAGCTGATCATTGTAAGCACCTCTGTCAGTAGTAAATGGTTTGTCTCAACCCTTTAGCTGCTACATCTGCGGGGCAGCTTGTTCTGTTGAAAAACAACAGACTTACTGGCAGGATCACTAGGTGAAAATAAGGAAAAAAAAAAACTAAAAAAAAGAAAACTAACACAGCCATCACTTCTACGAATTGGTAAAATGCAATATAATAAATGTTTGCTTTAGGGTTTAATACCACTTTTGCTCAGATCCCTCTAACTGTAAGGTTGATTTTATTATTTTATTTAGAATTACCTTTGTCACTATAGGATTAAATAAGGGAAGAAGGAGTCCATATTGCTGAACTAATTCTAATCAGCTGTCAGGCCAGACAGCATGATCGCATAGGTTTTCCAATGTGCTGTCACTCCTAGTAGCAAGGTAGCATGCTGTTAATGAGAAGAAGATGTGGAACTAGAGGGATCACATGTACAGTTGTGCTCAAAAGTTTACATACCCTGGCAGAAATTGTGAAATTTTGACACTGATATTGAAAATATGACTGACCATGCCAAAAAATGCTCTTTTATTGAAGGATGATGATCATATGAAGCCATTTATTATCAAAAAGTTGTTTGGCTCCTTTTTAAATCATAATCATAACAGAAATCACCCAAATGGCCATGATCAAAAGTTTACATACCCTGGAATGTTTGGCCTTGGTACAGACACACAAGGTGACACACACAGGTTAAAATGCCAATTAGAGGTTAATGTTCCACATCTGTGGCTTTTTAAATTGCAATCAGTGTCAGTGTATAAATAGTCAATTAGTTTGTTAGCTCTTACATGGAAGCATTGACTAGGCTAGATACTGAGCCATGGGGATCAGAAAAGAACTGTCAAAAGTCCTGAGTAACAAGGTAATGGAACTTTATAAAGATGGAAAAGGACATAAAAAGATGTCCAAAGCCTTGAATATGCCAATCAATACTGTTAAATCACCTATTAAGAAGTGGAAAGTTCGGGGGGTCTCTTGATACCAAGCTAAGGTCAGGTAGACCAAGAAAGATTGCAGCCATTACTGACAGAAGAATTGTCTGGGATTCAAAAAAAAAAAACCCACAGGCAACCTCAAAAGAAAAACTGGCTGCTTTGGAAAAAGATGGTGACACCCGTAACAGATCGCATGGACGCCGCGCGATTGCAGTACGGTGCGGGAAAAAAAACACGGGGTTCGCTGCGTTTCCCTCGCCACATTAGTGGCTCAATCAGAGGAAAACCAGGGACAGCAGCTGAAGGACCAAAATAAATGGTGGGAATGCTTTTTATATTAACAGGAAGCACCGTACCCCAATGGTAGACAGCCCTGCAATCGTTATTGTTCACCTTCCAGAATTTCTTTAGGGACTGTACAGCCCTGTACAAAAGTGCTAAACCCACAACAGTAAAATCCACCTGTATTGCAGTTCACTATGCTTCCAGAATTTGCATTTGTAGAGGCCGTTTGATCTGTTCTCTGCCCCTCCTCTTGTTCAAATGTCCACTTGCATAAGAGTGAACAACATCATGCTGTCAAGGTGTGACCAGAGGTGTGTGAAAGGGAAAAAAGTGTTAAAAATGTTACACTAACAGTAAAACCGCACAGTGCAATACTAAAACATAATACGGTAAAATCCAAACCTGTATATGCAGGTACAGGGGAGCAAGCGGAGAATGGTCGGGGTATGGAACCTAAAGCAGCATAGTACAGGGGTCAGCAGAGGGATGGTCCGGGTCCAAGCCTCAGCATTAGTGTAAAAAGGCCGCCAGGATCAGAGCAGGAGAAGTCCTGACTTACTCAAACACAACACCCCAAGTCTCCTCTTGTTCAAAGTATCATCAGTCCACTTGAAAGGTTGAGTCTCTGACAGCTGGCCACTGGTAACCCAAAAGGCAGGTAGCCACATCCAACATGCTTAGTTTAGTGTGTATTGCTAGAGAGGTTTTTTTTCATGGGAGAATGCATGTGATCAGTAAAGGGCCAATCAGCACTGTCCAGACAGAGGTCAGGGGTTCTGCATCCTCCTAGAGCAGAAAGAAAACTCCTCCTCCAAGCTTTAACCAGTGCTCTGCTGAAGTCACAAGACTGCTCTAACTTCTGATGAGAAAAGGTATTTAGTAGTTTACATTTACTAAAATAATTGCATTTCCATGTTCTGTGTACTGTGAGAGACCAATATAGTGAATGCAGGGTCCGGGGTTTAGTAACACTTTAAGTTAATGTTTGACTTCAGCATGGCAGGTGTTTCCTAAGGAGAAATATTTGATTTGACTACTCTTGTAAAACACACATGCATGCTTTTTGTGTTTGTTTTTAGAGTGCCTATAAAACTCAGTTCATTTTGTGACCTATAAAAAGAAATACTAGTTTAAAAGCTCTAAATTCCATTTTCCGTTTAGTGGAAAGCTGCAGGACCTATTAACGGTGACCAGGTGTTCTTACCTCAGTCAGGGCATAGCACTGTTCTGCAGTGCATTCTCTGCTTTACTTGTTGGATTGCTGAGGGCGAATATAATCGGCCGCTCATTCACTACAGCCATGTCTTTCAAAATCTGCTCAGTAAAAGCTCCACCTATTGCTGCAACACCTATAAAATGAACAAAGCTGTAATACACATGACCACAGAATACTAGACCAAAAAAAGGTGTCCATGACTAGAGTTAACATTTCACCTATTAAAGCCGTGGGTTTGATATCTTTAACAACGTCTTCCAGACTCTTCATTTCCTTGTGTGGGTGGGCAAAGCGCTCCTTTTCATGGGTAAGAGAAGACCTGCCCTGTAAGAAAGACATGCAGGAAATAAATCTGACTGTAATGGTGGAAATGCACAGAAAACAATTCAGAAAGTTGTGGTTGTGTTCTTGAAACTGTACTCTAGGTACATTTCCATTCACTGCAGGTCAAACAAGGAAAGATCTTGTCATAGTCAGTGCCAGATTTTACCTTCTATATTAAATTATAAGAATTCTGTTAATAAAATGTATCCTGGGAAGCAATATTTTGCTTGTAATCAGATGTAAAACCCATTTAACATTCCTATATATGCTTAACTTCTGATAATATGTGTAGCACAGACCAAAAACTGGGCCGGCTGTATTATCCCAGGTTCCATTCCTTGAGGCATATGACCAGGCATATAGTAGCCCACAGTCAGGAAACAGGCAGTGCATGGCTTTGTGTGGTTTAATTGCTGGTTTAATTTGGATAGGGTGTGGGTGAGCCTTGGGCTACTCCAAACTAACAGAAATATGATGGAAGACACCTCAAATTATTCTGTATCTTCAGGGTGCAACTACCCTCTTGTATCTTGTCTCTGGTGAACTACAACTCAGGGGACCCCTTTGCGTAGGTATAACCTGAGTCAGCAACAGGAGTGAGCTCTCCCAAAGGTGACAAAGCTGACAAGTACAATCTCTAGGATCCTTATGGCTTGTACTCCACTGTACCCGGTGTCACGGTCGCCCGATCACCGCCACCAACATGCAACAATCGCACGAGGCATCGACGTTGACCGGAAGTGCGATCGCGGCCATCTTGGAAGTGGGAACATGCGGTTTATGTTTCCCTGAACCTGTCATGTGCATACTGCTTGTGAGGAGGAGCTGTTACCACAAAATTTATGTGAGTTTTAATAAAGAAGAATACCTTTTATATTGTGACTGGTTTTCTGGAGGAAAGTGGAGGAGAGAAAATCATAATCGTTGGAGGAAATCAATGAGAGGAGATTGTAACCCAGAGTGGTTAATCTGCCCTGCTGTCTCTGCTATATAGGGTAATTACCCATCCATATTAGAGTTGGAGAGTGGTGGTTTGGTTATCACTTTTATATATATATATATATATAGGGTGTGGTGTGATACACTGGCAGTATTATCTGTGGAGTGGTTTTTCACACATTGCATGGCATATCCTATGTGAATGTGTTTTCACTCTTATTGTCATTTCACTTATTTGTATGTGTTTTGACACTTGGTTAGAGTATACACATTTATTTTATTTTGCATGCTGCACAGCGAGTGGCACGTGTGTTTTACATTATTTAAGGTATGACACTATGTCGAGTTTTTTTTCTTTTTTTGAGGTGCATGAATATCAGGATTTGCGGGTATTAAGAAGGTTTTGGTGATGAAAGAAGAAGAAAAAGTTTTAGTGTTTGTATTACACTTGTGAGGATTATTTTTTTGGGACTTTTGATTTTATTTTTATTTTTTTTTTTTTTTTTGGACACGGTGGGATCTTTGGACTTAATTTTTTTATATATAATTCTTATAATTTTTTACATAAGTTTTGGTTTTATTTTTTGATTTGATGTATTTGCTCATAGAAAAGTCACATATATATTGTTTAGCTGGCCTTCAAGGGTGAAGGTAGATCACTTTTCTGGGATATTATAGGTTTAAATGTTGTGATATATAAGTATAATCGCACGACCGCAACCAACAATAATACATCACGCCCGCGGCGTCAGACCCCAGATCTTCTCACCAAACTCGTGACCGAAGGACCGGCCGATCTAAAACCGCGGTGTGACGCACGTAGCAAGGCCAGACCCAGCTGCACCCTGCACAGCGATTGTCCAGCTAATTGGCTATAATCGGTGCCTGCAGCCTGAATGCGCTTGTTACTGGGTCGGGTTAAATACGCAACTAACCCTCTACTGCCACCACCACTTTTGTCGGAGACTGGGAAACTCCTGTTATCAAATATACACTATAATGATTGAAATATTGATCTATATAGCACGGTCCGCAGGCCTGTTATACAGAGATTATAACAAACAGTAGCGTCTCTTCAAAGGCAGGAATTTGTGAATTGCAAGTAAGCGCTTAGAAACAGTTTAACACTTTCAGAAAGAAAGATTTATTACTAAAAGAGTCAAACAGGTGCAATAAATAATTTACAAAGCGATGTCATTAAGATAATATTTATATATAGATAGAGACCCAACAACACAGCAAAGAGATAATAGGAAGGAAGTTAAAGGGTTAAGTTACTTGCCAATACGCCTTGGTTTGTAAGCAGATCCAAGTTGCAGAGCGGAAAGGGTCTTTGATCTCCTGCTGTTACGATGTTAAGATCAGAGATGTCTTTAGCTTCAACTTTTGGCTTACCAGCCTGTCTTTTTTAAAATCCCCCTGCAAGGGGGGGTGGCTCTGAGATTGGCCAATGCCCTGTTTTGGGCGGGATGACGGCGGACTCTGAATTAAAACCAACAGCTTCATAATCCATGATATGAAACATAGGTGACAGCTGACCTGAGGAATGTTCAATTAACTTCTGTCACCTGGCTGGTAGGTTTTATGAGGTTCCGACTTCTTTCAAGTCCGGGAAAAGCTGCCTGATCTTGATTAGGAGGGGTGAGTTTTCCCAGGCTTTGAAACTGAGCAACTGTGCTCATGGGGGGGGCTTTGAGCTTCTAGCCTGCCAGCAACTTTTAACACACATCTGTCCCTGGGTAAAAGGAAAGATTGAGGAATACTTCTAATGGGGGAACTCCGCGTCCAACTTGATGAGCAAGTTTGCTACGCCCGGGTTTGGTGCTCTTTGTAGTACCTGCACTGAATGCTTCCACATTGGATCCTCTGTAGCTTCTTGCACTGCTTTCGGGGACTCTGGATGTGGGTCCCTGAGCTCTAGCTAGAGTTAGGATGCAGATGGATTTCTTCTAATTTGCAGCTAGCAGCCCAGAAGGCTTAGCCCTCATGTAGGTCTTCTCCCATAGGAATAGCCTGCTATTCTAGGCTCCAGACAATTTATGCACACCACAACCCCACATCAACCAGGGATTGGCTGAGGCCATAAATATTCAGTCCAGGGTCTGCCTCTCTCACACACTGTATTCCAGAATTTACTGGAATAGAGAGGAGGTAGCTGAGCCTGCACCAGCAGAACCCAGAACCAGAACAGCCAAAAAGCAATTGAACACTGCTCCTGTGCTACAGGGGAGCCATAAACTAAATGTGCCTAAACTATAGCAACCTAGCTAGGAGGGTTATACAGTCTGGCCGAAATTGTTGGCACCCTTGATATTTCTCCAGGAAATCATGTAGTTCTCACGAAACGTATTGCATTAACACATGTTTTGCTATACACATGTTTATTCCCTTTGTGTGTATTGGGGTTCGACATAATGTCACACACAAACCTCCAAAAATGGGCTGGACAAAAGTATTGGCACCCTTTCACAACTGCGGATAAATAAGAATGTTACAAGCATTGGATGCTCCTGTAAACTCACCTGGGGCAAGTAACAGGTGTGGGCAATATAGAAATCACACCTGAAAGCAGATAAAAAGGAGGGACGTTCACTTAACCTTTGAGTGTGTCTGTCTGTGCCACACTAAGCTACAACAGAAAGAGACGAGAACTGTCTGAGGACCTGAGAACCAGATGGGCAAAAATATCAACAATCTCAAGGTTACAAGTCCATCTCCAGAGAATAGATTTGCCTTTGTCACAGTGCGCAACATTATCAAGAAGTTTGCAACCCATGGCACTGTAGCTAATCTCCCTGGTCGTGGACGGATGAGTGAAAATTGATGAAAGATTGCAACGCAGAATAGTCCGGATGGTGGATAAGCAGCCCCACAATGTTCCAAAGACATTCAAGCTGTCCCTGCAGGCTCAGGGAGCATCAGTGTCAGCTCAGCGCGAACTATCCGTCGACATTTAAATGAAATGAAACGCTATGGCAGGAGACCCAGGAGGACCCCACTGCTGACACAGAGACATAAAAAAGCAAGACTACAGTTTGCCAAAATGTACTTGAGTAAGCCAAAAGCCTTCTGGGAAAACGTCTTGTGGACAGATGAGACCAAGATAGAGCTTTTCGGTAAAGCACATCATTCTACTGTTTACCGAAAACGGAATGAGGCCTACAAAGAACAAAACACAGTACCTACGGTAAAATATGGTGGAGGTTCAATGATGTTTTGGGGTTGTTTTGCTGCCTCTGGCACTGGGTGCCTTGACTGTGTGCAAGGCATCATGAAATTCTGAGGATTACCAAAGGATTTTGGGTCGCACTGTAGGGCCCAGTGTCAGAAAGCTGGGTTTGCGTCCAAGATCCTGGGTCTTCCAGCAGGACAATGACCCCAAACATACGTCAAAAAGCACTCAGAAAATGGATGGCAAAGAAGCGCTGGAGAGTTCTGAAGTGGCCAGCAATGAGCCCAGATCTAAA